CCCCAAAACCCCAAAACCCCAAAACCCCAAAACCCCAAGTTTCAAAATTAGTGTTGAATTATATAACAACTAGTTGTTGGTCTGTCTTGAATTCCAAGCTCCCAATCCATCAACAACAAGGCGATTGCCACGGATGTCTTTTATTGGCTCATCTGTCTTTCCGACACTAGACATAATCTTTTTATCTAAGAACTCGAAATCTTTATGAGTTCTACGACTAGTGTCGTTTTCTCTTTCTTCAATAGTTTCAATCATCTTATTCACTTCGTGTCTCTCAGTATCGCTGATCTTGTCGCTATCCCTGTAAATCTTTTGAAGAAGTCTCTTGATAGTTCCTTTTGCCCAGACATGCCTATGCAAAGGGAATAGCACCTTGAGGGCACTGAAGAAGTATTTCCTTCTAGCAAGGGCATCGAGATTGTAGAAGCTGAACCCATCTGTATCTTTGGTAACTATTTCACCATAAATCCAGTCATTCTGGATAATACCAAGCTCATTCTTCTCTTCAGTGTCTGCTGGTTTGAACAAGGTACTCCCCTCATCAGGATCCTTGAAGGTCTCTAGATGCTTGTCTTGCTCTTCAGTGTAATCCTCAAGATCTTCAAAGACGTTTTCAAGAGCTTTAGCTGCTTTTATAAATTGATATGTGTCGTCTGTAAAGAACTGGGACTCTATATGAATAGGAATAATATAATTCTCCAGCATCCTAAGCTGCTCTGGCTGGAACTGCTCTTGCTCAAAATAAGCATACTGTCAAAACATAGAATAAAGCTCTTGTAAAATCTGCCTATCCTCTTCATTTTCCGCCCTCGATTCATTTCTCACAAGTGAATCGATCACATTTAACAGTGTATTTTGACAAAAGAAGTCGATGTTCCTCTTGAGCAGCTCATTAAGAAGTCCTAGTCACTTGGAATATTTTCCTTTCTTATTGATATACTTCATAATACGAAGAAGGGCTTTGTAATGGTCAAGTTCCTTATATTTCTCCCTAAGCTCTTCCTTCTCCTTCTGCTTCTTCTCTTCTTCCTGCTTCTTGAGATCTTCATGCTCTTTGGCTTCTTTCTCGGTGAATTTTTGGTTGATCTTTTTAAGAAATTTGAGCTTGTCAAGGTATTTCATAGCCCCTTCCTTCTCAGATTTAACCAAATATCTATCAATCATCCTTTCACTTCTGTGCCGGTTATGGTTCTCCCTAGCGAAGCGGGAGTGGGTGCTCTGGCCTATCCTTGTGATGCCCTCTATACCCTTGATGTCTGTCTTTTCCATTTTAGTTAAAAATTATTATAAAATTTCAATTTTTTTACAATTTATTGGGGTTTTGGGGTTTTGGGGTTTTGGGGTTTTGGGG